TACACCCATGCTTCCTCAAGTGCCCCCCAGCCCCCAAATACACCTCTATACACCCATGCTTCCACAAGTGGCCCCCATACACACCAGCTTTTCTGACAGTTCTGCAAGCTTCAACTCTGATGAGATAGAAATGGAAAGATTTGTCTTCCCCAGCCAATATGGGGTACCTACATATATATATATATATATATATATATATATATAATATGCAGTATAAAGCTTGGAAAATGCTAGAAGCCTATGTTGTTTGTAGCTACGTAGCTTCTTTGCGCGTCGATACTCCAGAAGACGCTGATTTTACCTCTTCGTTAACTCCGTTTCCGTTACACAAATCACGTGGCACAGGTCCGTTTTGACCGGGGCCGGGGTTTTTCTTCCTCCACTCTCGTCACATATAAAAAGGTTGTAGAGACCGCTGCGCTCTCCTTGTGCACGGAGAATGTGCGAGCAGTGCGTGATTGTGTAGGCGCGCAGCTTAGAGGGAACACTGGAACAGTATAGTCATGGATTAATCTGCATTATGTAATATTAACGAGTTAATCTTTTTAGATTAATCACATGCACTAACACGTTAACGTTGACAGCCCTGAGTGGTTAGAGTAGTCGTCCTCCAGTAGGAGAGTTGGGGGTTTGATTCCACCAGCAGTCGCATGCTGAAGTGTCCCTGGGCAAGACACTGAACCCCCGTAGCCTCTGATGTGTGTCCCATCAGTGTCTGAATGTGATGAAGCTCTGATTATTCTTTGTACAGATCTAGTATAGAGCTGTATGAACTGGTAAATGAGGCACAGATTGTTGTGAAGAGCTTTGAGTGTCTCGATCAGACAGAACGGAGCTGTATAGGTACAGTCCATATACTTTATATTTTTGGGTGTAACTGGGACCCTGAGTACACAATTCTGTTCCACCTCATGTACCACATGTGATACGAATGACAATAAAGAACCTCGAATCCTTGAACTGAAGGTTTGCTTGCCAGATAAAAACAAAACAACCAAAAACACTTAGTCTAAACTAAAATAAGCCCTGATGAGTGTTCTAACTTCCATACGCTACATTTTAGTCTAAAGAAAAACCTGTTAAATAACTTTCAGGTTGATTAAAAACATAAAGATTATTAAAGACACAACTTTGCTCTGGACCGGAGCGGCCACTGAATTCTTCTTCTTTCACTTATTTTTCATTTGTTCCAGAAGGTGGCACAATTGTGTAGGAACTGGAGCAGGCCAGCCTTTCACAGGGTGCCATTATACCAAGACCCACCAAGGTCCTGGTCCTCACATAAAACAGCACCACCTGCTTTGTTCACTGTATGTGAACAGACCTCTTGACCTTTGACCCCAAGACAGTGATAACAAGTTGCCAAAGTGTCACGACCTTTTTTATTTTGCGAAAAGATTGCTGTCTGAACAGAAAGCGTCGGAGGAAGATGGTCTGGTCCCCCACGAGTCACTTTGTATAACTCAGACGCACCAAGGGCACGTCTTTTGTAAGCCCGGCCTTCATCCAGTGCACCTCCAGGATCCCCTCGCTTTCTGCTGCTCTGTCTCTCAAACGTTCCACCGTTTATTCCATTCTTCAGTGACGGTACCACCTTTAAACGATCACATATTTAAACCAAAAGAAAGTAGGAGGCAACAAAAACTGTCAAAATATAAAATGCACACCCCCCCCACCCACACAAAACCCCAAATTAAAAACTGAATTTATTTAATAATATTGCCTAATATTAATATTTTAAGTAGAACATGTTACTAAACACATTTTAAATGTAATTTTAATGCACAGCTTGAACTAAAGAGACGGATCGCGAGCGAACCTGTCGACAGGGACTCTTTGAACCGTTCCTTCCTCAACTCTGGACACATTTAAAAACTAATTATGATCATTATATATTTATTTATATTGTTTATAAAAATACTGAAGATTTAGGCTGAAACTTTGTTTCAAATTTTAACTAAATACAACGTTTTGGTCACCTATTTAACCCGTCAAACAGTCAGTAAGCTGAAAACAGTCATGCTGTTTTAAACATGCACAGAAAGTGGTAGACTGAAACAAAATACTAAATAATACTTTTATTTATAGTTTTAAAAATACAGGCGGATTGTGCAGAATATTACTACTTCTCTGCTGTGTGGCTCGTAGCAAAGTAACGTTTCCTCATATTTTACACGAGGAAATTGGAGTATAAGTAAAATATCCAGTTATAAAGGGTTTGACAGTAATAAAAGGTAGAAATACACGGAGTACTCTTCAAGCTTCTACTCCAACAATCGTCTGCATACGTTCAAATTGTTGCGCTCTTCTTTATGAAAATAAACTTTTCCATGTATTCCTCTTTATTTATTATTGTTCTGTACTTTTTTAAATCTTGATTTGCCTGCGTTTTACATTTTACGATATGGACCAGTGTGTCTGAAATAAAGTTAAATATTAAACAAATAGTGTTTGTACTATGGTGCTGATGTCAGTCAGCTAGTGAGGGTTTTAGCTTCCATAACAAGCCAGCAGTGAGCCGAATGTTTCCCCTGCTAACATGCTAACTCTTGTAGCTCGGTGACAATGTTCGTTTTAAACCGTTACGTCAAAGGAGAGATGGTGTTCACTGACTGGGTTATTCCCTTCCAGATAACTGGTGACCCTCAAACTGGTGACCCTGAACTGGTGACCCTCAAACTGTGACCCTCGAACTGGTGACCCTCGAACTGGTGACCCTCGAACTGGTGACCCTCGAACTGGTGATCCTGAACTGGTGACCCTCGAACTGGTGACCCTCGAACTGGTGACCCTCGAACTGGTGACCCTCGAACTGGTGACCCTCAAACTGGTGACCCTCAAACAGGTGACCCTCGAACTGGTGACCCTAGAACTGGTGACCCTCGAACTGGTGACCCTCGAACTGGTGACCCTCAAACTGGTGACCCTCGAACTGGTGACCCTCAAACTGGTGACCCTCAAACTGGTGACCCTAAACTGGTGACCCTCAAACTGGTGACCCTAAACTGGTGACCCTAAACTGGTGACCCTAAACTGGTGACCCTCGAACTGGTGACCCTCGAACTGGTGACCCTCGAACTGGTGACCCTCGAACTGGTGACCCTCAA